TTGCGGTAAATAGGTGGAAAATGATTGATGCATTGGAGGAGTACGATCTATGGGTGGATGGACCGGAGTATCAACCATATCTATTCAACCTTGTAGCTCAACCGACGCTTCGGTGACGGGTAGTGGAGTTGCAATGCCTGGATTCGAAACTTGATTGGATTAGAGCCCGATTGGAGAATGGAGAGGCGATTGAAGGATGGTCTTGGAAGAATGGAGAGTTAAGATATGGGGAGAAGCTATGTGTTCTCGATGATTCGTCCCTAAAGGAGGAGATACTGGGAGAGTGTCATCGCTCCAAGTTTGCTATCCACCCGGTAGTACAAAGATGTATAGGGATATGAAGCGTAAATACTGGTGGAGGAGAATGAAGCGAGATGTGGCCAAGTATGTGACAAAATGTGTAGTGTGCCAGTAGGTGAAGATTGAGCATCAAAGACCAGGAGGAGTCCTACAATCTTTGTCTATTCTAGAGTGGAAGTGGGATCACATCACCATGGACTTCGTGTCGGGTTTACCACAGACGTCGCGCGGGCATAATGCAGTGTGGGTCATTGTGGATAGACTCACCAAGTCCGCTCACTTTTTGGATATGAAGACCACGGATACATTCGAGACTTTGAGCTAGCTGTATATCCGTGAGATAATGAGGTTACATGGCGTTCCGCTCTCGATTGTGTCGGATCGTGACTCTAGGTTTGTGGCGAGATTCTGGCAGAGTCTACAACAAGCGATGGGAACGGAGTTACACTTTCAGTACGGCTTTTCATCCCCAAACGGATGGCCAATCCGAGAGGGTGATACAGATTGTGGAGGATATGTTACGTGCTTGCGCGTTGGACTTCAAGGGGAGTTGGAGCGACCACTTACCGTTGGTGGAGTTTGCTTACAACAACAGCTATCAGGAAAGTATTGGGATGACACCGTATGAAGCATTGTATGGAAGACCATGCCGATCACCGACGTGTTGGTTAGAAGCCGGCGAGAGTAGTTTGTTTGGACCGGACATTGTTCGAGAAACTACGGAGAAAATTCAACTTATCCGAGAGAGGCTACGGTCGGCGCAAAGTACATAGAAGAGCTATGCGGACCACAGCGAAGACCCTTAGAATTCAAGGTGGGAGACTACGTATTTCTCAAGGTGTCACCCAAGAAAGGCGTGTTTCGATTCGGCAAGAAGGGGAAGTTAGCGCCAAGATATACTGGACCGTTTGAGGTAATCAAAGCGGTAGGCAAGGCGGCATATCAACTTCGACTACCAGCCCAGCTATCCGGAGTACATGATGTGTTCCACGTGTCCATGTTGAGAAGGTGTCACTCGGATGCAACTCCAGTCGTGAACTTGGAGGAGATTGAAATTCAAGACGGAGCAACCTACGAAGAACAACCGGTAGAAATTCTCGACGCCTAGGAAAAAGTGTTTCGCAACAAAGTTATCAGATTGGTGAAGGTTTTGTGGCAACACCATGGAGTGGAGGAAGCTACATGGGAACCGGAGCAAGAAATGCGGGAGAAGTATCCATATTTGTTCGCTACTTGAGGTAAGTTTCGAGGACGAAACTTTCTTTAAGGGGGGTGGAGTGTAACACCCCGCATTTTCTTTTATATATGTATATAGATATATAGTAAATAATTGTGGAAAAAAAAATGTGGATATATGTAGTGATGTGTGTTTGAATTTGGTAGATTGAAAAAGTAGAGATTTAAAATGTTAGTGGAAATAATAGTTGAAATTTGGTTTTAATAAGTGAAAATATGAAATTTTAGGTCCTAGAACTTGTATTAAATAGGTTTGGTGTAGAAATATGTGTTGGAGAGGTTTGGGATAGATTTGGTTGGCTTAGGAATGGATTGGAAATGGAAAAGGGACGAAGACAGGCTGTGAACAGTGCACATGAACAGTGCACTGCTGCAACTTCAAGCTCGATTTAGACCTTGATGCAGTCAATATCTCTCAAAACTCAAAACATGAAAGTTTTAGAGCTCTTTCGTATCATTCCATAGCATCTTGAATCATCTCAATCGGAGCTTGGATGAGAGAGTTATGCTCAGATAACGAAATGATGTCGAAATAGTCCAATTAGCTTCGTTTTGCATTTAATGTCTCCATTTGCATCCTAAATCAAAATATAAGAATAATTAGTACTTTTAGGCTTCAAATAAGTATAAAAAGCTTTGAAAAATACCCTTTATCACCTTTTATTTGCAAACATCGCAAAACTTCATTAATAGCCGATTCGGATGAGTAAAATAGAAACTTTAGTGTTTCGGGTGTACNTAAACTAGAAACTTTAGTGTTTCGGGTATACGTTGACTTGGGTTTTGAGATAAATCATAAAAATAAATGTTTTTAGGTTAAAATAACATTAAAAATGAATCCAAAACATCAAAAAACCTTAAGGTAGTCATATGGATCAAATTGGAGATTCTTAGTGGTAAAACCGTAAATTTGGAAAAATCCAAAATAGCCTTGTGAACAGTATTTTTCGGGGCTGCTATGTTTTAAACTCATTTTCATCTCATTTGCTCTCATTTCCTTCACTCCCCTCACACCCCCACACCTCTTGAAACCCTAGAGGGCATTAGAGAGAAGAAAGGAAGAGAAAAACAAGAAATTCAAGGGTGATTCAAGATCAAATATTCTTGTTTTTCACTCCAAAGCTAAGGATTTAATGTAGAGGTTTTCTCTCATTCACTTACATTGAGGCTATGGTATTTATATATGTATGTTTTGGCTATCAATGATATATATATGCTATGGAATCATTCTCTCTTAGACTTTTTGCAAAGATTACATATTTTGAACAAAGTAGGGTTTAATACTCATGAAATCTCCCTTCTAGTTTTAAAACTCTAATTTTTTGAAAGTGATGTATTTTCCTTCTTAAATGCTTTCTTTATTATGGATTTCGAAACCTTAGTGCTTTGTGTTGGATAGAAAAAATGATATTATTGTGATTTCATGTATTTTTTTAGTTAGTTGTGGAATTGTTAAATGATATATTTTAGAAATTTTGGATAGATGCTTATAAATTGAGATAAATGTTGAAATTGTATGCTTGGTTGGGTTGTTTATGATGCACATGAGAGAGAGGTTCTTTGTAAGGATGCTCATCCCTTCCCAAGAGGTTCCCGGTAAGGATGCTTGGGAGATAATGTAGTGATTGGTGAAATGTTCCATGTAAGGATGCTCATCCATTTTCAAGAGGTTCCCGGTAAGGATGCTTGAAAATCAAAGGTGACCTAAAAGGGGAGGTGGAGGTTACCACAAAGTATGCCACCTACCGAAAGAATTGTTGGAAATTGGTTATGACAATTAATGGTTATTATTTGTATGAGGTGCTCATTTATTCATTTAAATAATGTTTTTAAATAAACTTGAGATCTTTTTTAAATGTCATTGTTTTATTTCAAATTATGTATCTATGTTATGTTAAAATTGAGACCGACCGTTTTAAATGTTTTTTTAAACCTTGTATGGGTTTGGGAGAATGTTTCTACAGAGTTTCGTGCTCACCCCCTATCGCTAACATTTTTCAGATTATCCGCTTATGGAGGAGGACGTAAGGGTCTAGGAGCCCGCTACTTGGGAGACTCCACGGGACGGGAGTGTGGATCCCAAGGTGGACGCATAGAGCGACCTCTTTTTCTTTTGTACTAGACTATGACATTCTTTTGGAACATTGTGTAGTCTAACTTCTTTTGTTTATTCCGCTACGCTTGCTTAATTAATTTTTCAGATTTAATAGCCATGACTTGGGCTTATTCTTTTGGATAATGTTGTAAATATTCGTAGATGACAAATGAAGTCTTGTTTCTTAAGGGATTATATTAGTGCTCTCATGATATGAATGATTTTAGAATGTAATGTCATCCAGGGTGTGTTTTGAGGCGTTACAATGTTGCAGACCAAATACAAAGCCTTCGTGGCTTTTATGGACAGCTATGAATAATCAGGAGTAACTCCACCCATAATATGCCAAATTACAATTCGAACAGTACGAAGATTAGCTTTGGCAATTGAGGATCCTGTTTTCAACTTCTATTGATGGTTAGAATCCCGTATCAGGGACCATTATTATCAACAATTTATTCCATTCTGATCCAAGCCATACCAAAACTTCATCTGTCATCTACTGACATCGTACAAACATCACACTTCACATAACTGTATTGTACAATGATGAGCACTACCGTCGTGTTATACTATAACACAACATCCATTGAATGTATTTACAATAGGAGACCTACTTGTTATGTCCACATTTATAACTGATTTTACACCTGGAATACGCAAAGGTCCGACACCAAAGCTATCAAGTCTTTGTAATGCACTAACCACTATATAGTACAACATAAAAACAAAGTAGGGTCTTATGCAGCTACAGTGTTTGAGAAACGTTAGAGAGAGAGAGAGAATACTGGTCTACTTTGACATTGTAGGAGCATGAGATTCCCAAGGCCATATCTCTGACGCACAGCTTCCGGCATCACCTACAATTCCAATCTTGAAATTTCCATTAAAGGAGTCGACATTTTCAAGTCCAATGGTTGAATTTTGCTCCGTAAGTGGTATTACAGGATATGAGGTATTATCACCTATTGTGATTGTCGGAGAAACATTACCCACCCGACTTGTGCTTTGGTTTCTAAAGGATTGTTGAGTGTTTAAATGATTCTGGAGAAGATGAGTCAAACTGGGGGTCAACGAGCCACGAGCAACCATATCTTCGGCCAGCTTCACCTAAAATCACCGTACATAATCTTTGATGAAGACAAACCTTCCACCAACCTTGTATCATTTCCAGATATGCACTGCTTCGCTAATCTTACATATGCTAACGTTATTCTATTTGTATCAAATTCTATTCTTCTTTCGATCGTAAAAGACACTGATAAAATGATAAATGGAAAAAAAACCCGAGAAATGTAGAGTATGCTAGTATGGAAATATATTCTTGTGGCGCATTAGCACTGCAATGTCAAGCAACCAGCTAACACTTCATCAAATCATCATGAATGCCTATTGCATTAGGGATCAGAATTAAAGCAAATGCACTTTTATGCTTTGGTGACACTCGCTGTCATTCCATGACATTGGTGGTGTTTTCTTTATCGAATATAGAAATTATTGAGCAAATATCTACTCTAAAAGCTTGCGCTATTAAAGAGCGTATAACTTAAATATTTATACTTCAACACACCCCCTCCCGTAGAAGCTAGATTTTGGCCCTCGCACTTGGAGATCTTTTACTAATCATGGTGGCAGCAAGATTTGAATATAAGACCTCCTATTGGGATACCATGTTTAATAATCATCTACTCTAAAAAGCTTAAGCTGTTGTAGATGGGTGTAACTTAAGTATTTATACTTCAACAAAAATTATTTTAGCAAAATTCTGAATCTTGTGACAGAATAATGCAGAGGAAGAAAATTATACCTTGGCTCTCAAAGCTTCCACATCTGATTTAAGCACTCGATTATTCATGTTGGCATCTTTGCATTGCTGAGTAGCATCTGTAAGTTGCTTGAACAAAGATGAGTTTTCTCCTCGCAGCTGGTCAACCTGCAAGAAAGCCGTAACCTATACGTAACACAGAAGCTTTGTGAAACTCAAAAAAGATATGGAATGTTATATCAGACATAATGGAAAAGCAAAAGAAAATATTTAACCTACAGTGTGAATTCGAAGCTGAATGATTAGTTTAAATGCACACAAACACATGCTGTAAAAGTCAATTCTTTTGATTAGCAATAATGCTCTGTGTGAAAGTGAGAGCATAGGGGATAGAGAATATAATCAAAAATCTTAACAACAACTCTTAAAAACTAAATAACATAGATATCAATTCCGATGTACCCTCTATTTTGTTGTGTCATTTTTGCAACTCAATGGAGTTTTGAGTTTCCATGATTGTTTGAGTATGAGATAGCACATTCTAGGAAATTTAGATACCTGTTGCTCAAGGTCAGCTAAGTGTGCTTGCTTTCTTCTCCTTGAACGCCTGGCAGACTCCCGGTTTGAAACCATCCTGAAATTGTATGAACAATATCAACTAGGCTAAGTCTAGCTCCAATTTATATCTCTATCCCATTTTTATATATCAATCTACCTTTTGATTCGTTTTACATCAATAGCAGCAGTGCTCTGTTCGCATGGACCAGCTTCTGTCTCTATATCATCATCTGACTGCTCACCTGAAGAACCACTAGTAGCTCCCATTGCTTCATTATCTCTGCCTTTTAGTTTTGTAGCTGAAGTTGGACTGCCAACTGACCAAATACAAAAGCATCCCGTGGTAAAAACCTCAGAAAAATTGATAGAAACTCCTCTGGAGTAATGTTTATCAGCACACAATTGCATGGTGAAAGAACCTGCCATAAAATTTAATTTGTACAATCTACAAAAGAACATGTGAGATCCGAGTTATTTTCCACAGAGGATAGATTATCAGCAAGATTACACATGCATCAGATCTACACATAATCAGGCTGATACAGATAGAGGACACACTTAAACACATGAAAGTACACAGATCCTTGTGACCTCAGTCATACCGCATATTGATGACTGAGAATCAGCTGTCACAGAGATGCTGGAGTGCTTAGGAGCAACATCTTGAGACAAGAGTGTAGTCTCTGTTAGTCCACCATATCTTGAAAACCCATTCATTAGCTCCTGCTATGGCAAACACATACAGAAGTCACCTTGTTGAACAGGTAGCAAGTTGTGCAGGAAACAAGCACCACGGAAACAAAGAAAAATAGATTTAATTATGCATTATGTTATTTGCTTCATTGTCTTACTTCTGTGGGAATAGTATAGATGATTGGCAAGGGAGAGGAGGGGACAAAGTCATATAATTCCATTCACTGCATATCAGCAATGTATACCCATTGCATCTTTGATTGCAAGTCATAGCACACACAACCTATGTAGATTTTGTTGACAAATGAATTTTTTCCTAAAACCCAATTTCATAATAGTAAATTCTAGTTCTCTATTTGCATGTAGCCTCAAGATTTTAACCCAATGGGCCTCAATATGCACCTTAATCCCGTGCCTAAAGACACTCTGCAATACTAAAAATCGAACAGTGTAACATTTATATTTTAAATAATAATTTATTTTTTCCATTTTTTTCTTTAATTATGTAATTTGAGATTAAAATAAATAGAGAGAGATAGAGGGGCAGGTGTGGATTAATGGGATTGTTTGACATTGTGGAGTGTATTTATTGAATTGTCTGATATTGAGGACTATGCAAGGAAGATGAGGTTTTTAAGCAGGAAAACAACTTTTTGGATAAATTTTGTATCATTGGATCAAAATAAATGAAATTGGATCAATATAAACCGTTGTTATAATTTTAGAAATTGAGAATTCAACTACCTAATTATAATATTAGATAGATAAATATATATATATATATTTATTATATACTAATTAATGTACACGTGCGTTGCACGTGAACTATTTTTTAGTATAATTTTAGCAGTTATATTCTTTAAAAATATAGAATTAACATGATTCAAAATATCTAATAGAATGAATGGTGAACTCTCTAGACCACAAAATATAAGGAGCATAAAGCCTAATTATAGGTAGAAAAAGATATTAAAGTGACAACCAATGATTCATAATATGTTACAAATATATACAAATTGATGGTACAACAAATAACTTTTGAAAAGTTCAATTTCCAAATATAGGCTGCGCTTCAGCCACTTACGAGATTCTTCAACATTAAGACCTTCGTAATCATTCTTGATACGATCTAATTATAAAGGATACCATACATAGAACACTTTGAATTAATTTCACTATAAAGGCAAAAATCTTAACTAGGAATTAAAAAAAAACTATTTTCAACATTAGATCAACTAATGAAAGCATAATCAACCTCGAAATGAATACAAAACTAATAAAAGCCATATATGTACAGGAAAATTCAAAAAATATAACAAACAAATAAATAGATGTACAGCCTTTCAACGTCTTCAACTATCAAACACATGAAACTCTTGCTGTGAAGAAGAAAATGTGTTGAATAAAACTCCAGATCAATCTAGTAAACTGAGATTAGTGATACATTCACATCCACAATACACAAATAGTAAATTTAAATTGAGACAATAAATAATGTAATTGCATACTTCCTCACGAAATCAAAGCAAAAGACCAAATAAAAAGATTTTCTTATTGCAGAGAAAAGGGTTAGTTTGTTTTGTCGGTAGGTGAGAGAGATGTATGCACTGCACATTTGGAATTACCCAAGAATTTATAGGGTCTAAACGTTAAATTGTTGCATGAGATGTATGCACTGCACATTCGGCCGATTCAATGACGATAACTCGGGGATTGACTCGGATATAACTCGGCCGAATCGTGCGAGATTCGCATTTATACGTATCGTGCAATGGTATCGTCTCGATCATATCTGTATCCGCCGATACTTTGAACTATGGACTCAAACCCTAGCCGCCAAACCCTAACCTTCCCCACTAGACCTCTTCCCACCAGCACAGCCAACACCTCCCTCCCACGCCACCAGCACCNAACTATTTTTTAGTATAATTTTAGCAGTTATATTCTTTAAAAATATAGAATTAACATGATTCAAAATATCTAATAGAATGAATGGTGAACTCTCTAGACCACAAAATATAAGGAGCATAAAGCCTAATTATAGGTAGAAAAAGATATTAAAGTGACAACCAATGATTCATAATATGTTACAAATATATACAAATTGATGGTACAACAAATAACTTTTGAAAAGTTCAATTTCCAAATATAGGCTGCGCTTCAGCCACTTACGAGATTCTTCAACATTAAGACCTTCGTAATCATTCTTGATACGATCTAATTATAAAGGATACCATACATAGAACACTTTGAATTAATTTCACTATAAAGGCAAAAATCTTAACTAGGAATTAAAAAAAAACTATTTTCAACATTAGATCAACTAATGAAAGCATAATCAACCTCGAAATGAATACAAAACTAATAAAAGCCATATATGTACAGGAAAATTCAAAAAATATAACAAACAAATAAATAGATGTACAGCCTTTCAACGTCTTCAACTATCAAACACATGAAACTCTTGCTGTGAAGAAGAAAATGTGTTGAATAAAACTCCAGATCAATCTAGTAAACTGAGATTAGTGATACATTCACATCCACAATACACAAATAGTAAATTTAAATTGAGACAATAAATAATGTAATTGCATACTTCCTCACGAAATCAAAGCAAAAGACCAAATAAAAAGATTTTCTTATTGCAGAGAAAAGGGTTAGTTTGTTTTGTCGGTAGGTGAGAGAGATGTATGCACTGCACATTTGGAATTACCCAAGAATTTATAGGGTCTAAACGTTAAATTGTTGCATGAGATGTATGCACTGCACATTCGGCCGATTCAATGACGATAACTCGGGGATTGACTCGGATATAACTCGGCCGAATCGTGCGAGATTCGCATTTATACGTATCGTGCAATGGTATCGTCTCGATCATATCTGTATCCGCCGATACTTTGAACTATGGACTCAAACCCTAGCCGCCAAACCCTAACCTTCCCCACTAGACCTCTTCCCACCAGCACAGCCAACACCTCCCTCCCACGCCACCAGCACCACCACCCTTTCCCACCAACACCGCCACTCAGCACCGCCAATGCCATCACCTCCACGTCACTGATTTCTCTTTTCCCTAGGGTCAGAGCACCCTAGGGACTTTTAGAGGGGTTGGATTCCATTCATTGATCTACTTTTGATGCAATAAATCACCTATATATTTTTTCTAGATTTCTTAGTGTTGTGACCTGTTATTTGGGAGTTTTATGGATCTCTTCTTTATTGCTATTGTTTGACTGTAGGTATATTATTTTTCCTTAATTAACTCTATTTATTTTAGAGTAATTTTTATCACGATTACCACCATTACTATTGTTGCTATAGCCACTTATGAGGGACATGCGAGTTCTACCGTTGGTGCTTCCATTGAGAAGGTACTGCCCAATTCTACAGGGATTACCCCTTCCACCTTTATATTTGACCAGTATACAATACTTATTAGCACAGTTGCATTACCGGCGATACTGGGTATGGTCTCTCAGAATGTTATGACACAATTATTGGATGGTCATAACTTTGCTAAGTGGTCACGCTTATTTCAACTCTTTTTGGGTTGTATTGGGAAGCTTGGTTGGCTAACCGGATCGCACCCATAGCCAGCTGATGACGACCCTGAATATTCTGTGTGGTTCTCTGAAAACTACGCTATTCTTGAATGATTATTTGGATCTATAGAGGCATCTGTTTGCAGGATTCATCAGTTTCATAGTTCTATTCCAAAGCTATGAAGCACATTATAAAACATATATTCATAGTCAGGTCGTGGAGTTCGTGTTTATGGACTTTCGTAGGAGCTCTCATATGCTCGATAAGCAGATATAACAGTTCAGGAGTACTACGGCTATTTGACTCAACACTGGCTAAACAATGAGACTCCCCGTTCTCTTGCTGATATTTCGAGGATAAAGCCCAAAGGAGTGACATTTTTGCATAATCAATAGCAGGAGAATAGGATTCACAAGTTCCTTATGGGGCTTCGTGATGAGTTTGAGAGACCTTATTCCTAGATACTGTTGATGTTGAGGATTCTTTTTCATTATGAGGTTTATTTTATGATTGAGTAGCATGAACGTCGCATCCGTATTACATCACTTCCAATTGCAACCTTGACTCTCTAGACTGACTAGAGGGCCCTTGCAGCTACTACAAGATCTAGCTCAAGACCCCTTGCCAAGGGTGGACAATGTTCAGACCAGCGCCAACAGGGCCCTCTGAACAAACGGAGACCGAGCAATTCTCGCCAGAATGATTATTGTGGCCAACTAGGGCATCTCAGGGCGCTTGCTGGAAGCCCCATCCCGAGCTTAAGCTGCCTTATTTTTCTTCTCGAGGTCATACTACTACTATTGCTGAAGGGACCACCACCTACTTCTACTACCCCTGCTACTACTATTACTCCTTGGCAGAGCAATATAGATGCTATCACTTCCAGATTGAATATTCTTATGTCTACTATAACTTCTCCGGGTTTTACTACTACTGCTGTGACTACTGCGGGTATACCTCATGCCTTCTATGCTCGCACTGGTCCTTTTCTTTGGATGCTAGACTCTAGTGTGAATGGTCACTTGACAAGTGAGACTCATCACTTCACTACTTTCGATGAGCACTTACACACACAGGTTCAATTACCAGATGAGCCACATGCCCCTATTATTAGTAGGGGTACAATTTGCCTTCCAGATAGTCTTACATTACATTCTACTCTTCATGAGCCAAAACTGACCATGAATCTATTATCTGTACATCAGTTAGCTAGAAATTTTTGTTGTGCAGTAATGTTCTCATCTGACTCTTATTATTTTAAGACCCAAGTTCCAGGAGGATTATTATCAAGTGATATGACAGAGATGGGCTATACTATCTAGGCAATTCACCTACTTTATCTTTATCTTTATCTTTATCTTATTTTGACTTGCATACTAGTATTTTACCT